GGCACCAAATTTGCTCCTGTAACTGCTAGCACTGTGAGCTTCATTTGACTGGAGCAAAACACAATGGGTGACACTCTATTGGTCCACCTCTATATACAGTCTATGGTTAAAACAAACCAGTGGTGTTTTTATTTGATATATTACCAAATACTAACGAGTAGACACAAAAAATACAAACTTCATTTTTATTACACTGTTACAAATCATTAAAAGAGCTGTTAAGGCAAAACTGTTGAGTATAATTAGATTAGCACTCTGGTGTAAAAATGTTTTAGCAGAATCAATCTTCCTAAGCTTAATAACAGAGAACATATACATAATTAAACCTACTCTCACAGTACAAAAATATACTCAAGTAGAACTGTGAACACAAGCTGCTATCTCTGTTAGCTATAGTATATCAAGCAGACATTTATCGATGTACAGAAAACAACAAAGACCACTCAGCATCTATTGAGGGAGCAGGCTCGCAGACAGGGTGGCTGATTGGCCATTGGACACAGGGACCTGGGTTGTGTAGCACTTAATGAGAGCATGGGGAATACACGAGATGACTATGGGAAAGTAGGTAGTGGATGGCAGAGGAAGAAAGACAATATGCAAAACAAGGCGGGTCCTACGGTAAAGAATTGATTTCTCTATGCCAAAGATATGAGCTAAAAAATGCTTGATTGTGGGCATGGGAAGATCCTAAATCCATAAGCTAGTACACTGCTAATATTATGTTTATATATAAACATTTGGAGGATAAGCGCTAAGCCCACAGCCGAGCCAAATGGTTTATGCGTTTGTTTTTGTTTGTTTACCTCGTGTCAATTAAGCAAATAGGGCCATCCATCCACGATAATCACTGAAACATGCTGATTTTCCATTTGAGTCCAAAGGCTGAATACCACCCGTTTTCTACCTTTCACACGCCTTAAACTGACAGCGTAAGAGAGTGGGACTGGCACGTTTTATGTGTGATTGTGTGTTTTCACGTCTCTCCTTCCTTTGTTCCACCGGTCTAATCCAGTATGTGTGGGCCGGTAACTTTAATGGAAACAATTTATTAAGTCCGGCTTAAAATGCCATCTGCACTAAGCCTCGCAAAGCCGCTAAGCTCCCGGTTTGGCCCCGGAGCTCGCTGTGTTCACGCTTACTGTAATGCTCTGTTTAAAATGAGCACAACGGGTCAAAATTAATCAGGATTACAAGGGCACAAATCCACTTCAGAAATAGGTTTTCTACCAATCTTTCTCCAGCTATATCCCAAGATGCCCCTGGGTTTGTCTACTCTCACAACACCAATCCTAAGGTGGACTAATAAGCACTTGACAACGTTGTCCGTATCTAACCCATATAACATTCAACATGGCCATGGCGGATTCCAAGATATTTCGAGCTGCTGACATAGAGGCGATATCTCTCCACCACTTCCATAAGCATCGCGTTGTGAAATGTCGGGCTGTCCAGTAAAGTGTTTATCTGTACTCTGCGGAGGTGAACCGCACATGCTCGCTAGCTACTTTTAGCTTCTCAATTGCCTTCAAGCAAGTGACAAGAGTGAACCCTGACATTCAACTCAATACGCCCAGCACTGGGTTATCACTGTGCGTTTACTTACACAAGCCGTCCTCCAAGAAATCGATAATTTGCAGGAGGTTTAAGGCAGGAAATAAACAAAAAACAATGGACGTTAGATAATACTTGGCCTTGTTTGTACCTTCCTACCTCCTAAACACCAACTTAGTGAGGGAGAAAAAGATGTGCTGGCAGTTGGTTAAGAGGTGGAGCAGCACTTGGATGTAAGAAAAACACGGATAATATGGCAAATTTACAACCCCCACATAAATAGTAATAGTAGAAACTGTCAAAATAAGGGCAGTCCAGCAATAATAATGGCTCAATTGAGAAAGAACAAAATCTGGCAGATTTTTTTTTAAGGGGTACTATGTAAGTTTACTCCGTGGAGACAAGCATGAGGCACCAGTAATGTTTTGGCAACAAAAAACACATGCAACTGATTAAAAGTATGATAATTATTTTTAAACCTTACTAGTGTTGTCATGAATTTCAAACTCAATTTCTAAGACTAAGGAATATACGCGATACTCAATACAGATACCACAATGATAATAATAATAATGATTAAAAAAACTCTGAGTTGGACAAAACTTTGGACAATAGAATGTGATTTTCAACATTAAATTGTAGTACTTCCTTTATGGCCTTATATCATGTGTAATCTCTCAGTTGTCCAAATCGTTCCATATTGGTCCATGGATATATTCTAGTCTATGTGGTCTTATACTTCAAGATCATGCCAAAGCTATTCAGGAAAGGTTTGTTTCTGTCTTCTGAAAGTGACTTTAGTATTGATACTTGCTTAAATTAATATCTAGTTTCAATACTACTTTTAATATCTTATTTTCAATACTTTTGATAAACCTATACCATACTGTGCATTTTTATGAAACAAGTAGGTGAAGGACCCTCCACCAAAAAATCTGTTTCATAAGGCATCTTTAATGCAAGTCCCAGAATATATTATTATTGTGAGCATGTAGTCTCTTGTAAAATGGATACATGGTTTGCACTATGAGGATAACAGCATAGTAGTTAGCTCTGCCAAGGCCATGTTATTACAGATACTATGAATGTCTGTAAGTGGTAGTCAACATACTGTAAACACAAAAAGAACAAGAGCAAATGGGAAATAAAGAAAGCAGGCTTGTCTGGCTTTTAACCCAAACCATGTTCTGTGTGCATAATTACAGCGCTCTGCATGGGCTGATTACAATGTTGGTCTTTGGTCTCCTCTATTAACCCTGAACCATTTCATTAACATGACAGACTGCGGGTCTGTGTGCAATTTGGCTCTAACCTCAACTGTTTGTACTTGCACAAGCTCACCAAAATAAAGTTTGAGGGGACTGAGAAGCACTGGAAGAAATAACAGCCATTACCTCCAGGAGCCATCAAAGTATTATATATTTATGTGTGACATAATGTGTGGGCATATGCTTGTGTGCGACTCCAGCCAGCAGCACGGTGATCAGAGAGAGCAGGGCTTTTCATCGGTCCCACAGGATTGTCAGTAAGACCGGTAATGGGACACATACGCCGCATTTTAAATTCAACCAAAACAGCCAGTGGGTCTTTAAAAAATATACATGCTTTATACACACAGGAAAATGGTCTAGGCAAAAAACAAACAGGGTCTCATAATGGATTTCAGCTCAAAACTATAAGGCGGAATGATCTGAGTAAAAAATCTATATTAAAAAATCTATCTGCAATTCATGAATTATGTTTTAATAATTGGATTCTCTTCAAAGTTCAAATTTCAAACACATCCAGGAAAATTCATAAAGACACACACACACAAAAAAAAAAAAAAACAAGTGACAAACTATTTATTTGTTAAGCAGTTTCTATGCAGCATAAAAATATGCTCTTTTTGTGGAGGAAATTATTGTACTGTTGCATCATTTGGGATTTGCTAATTGTGTCCAAAGAAACAGCAATTTTGATTTGATTGTGATTAATCATGCAGCCTTACTCAAAACAACATCGGACTAAGACATAACACAAGACAGTCCAGATAGGAGAGCGTGACAACTTTATGCCATTCAACACAAAAGCACTTGATCTCCCAATGAAGCTGCTGCTGCCTCTCCCTTTCCTCGCCTAACCCTGCCACTAATCTGGTAGCTTTCTTGTGCATTACCCAAACAGGATCTGGTCGATCTGTGTGACAATCAACACAAAGTCTGATTGGATTGTGTGCGTGTAATTCCAGGGTGCTAATCCTCAGCTCTGCGCATACATTAGGGGAATCTACTGTGTTGTGACTGGTGTGTAGTTTGTTGTTCTATAAATCAAGGCTGGTGTATACAATGAAGTGATGATTAGCTGTATGTGCCTGCAGTTGTGTTATGGACAGTCTGTTGTGCTGGTAACGTAAGAGGTCTGCAGGGGTTCAGTGATCCTGTACAATGAGGAGATGGACATGTTCTAGTTCAGTCTAAACCATGCAAATCTGGAAGTCATAGCTGCTTTTACTAGCCCGGCTGGTCACAGGTCATCTACATCACAGAGCACGCTTTCTCTTTGAGCTAGTATTGTACAGACTAGAACAAATGTAGATGTAATCGCTCTGTCATCCAGAAATGTTCTTTTTATGATACAATAATAGTAAAAAATTTATTAACTTAAATTTGGTCCATTTAAATCCTTAAAAGACCTTAAAACCATACCTTCTCTAAACTGTCGCTCTACATTTTACACATTGGTGCAGCTCCTGCTCCTCCTTGACTTGTGTTAATGGTCCTGTGTCCCAGTCTCTGCCCTGGGGGGTCTGGTGGTTCTGCCGCTGTCTGTCACACATCCCTCCCCCTCCAACCCCCTGTCTCCTCTGGCCTGCTCCTGCCTCTGTCCCTGCTCTGGCAGCCATCTCTGTACACTGTACACTGTACAGTAGCCTAGTGAAGTCTGTGTCCAGATAAAATATGTGCTATGTAACTTGAGCAGCAGTGTATAAGAAGTGACTGGACACTAGGTCACATTCACACTAATAACCCCACACACGGACATGGCTGTATAATCCACACATGAATGTGCACACACTGAGCTGGTGTCGTCTGGGCCGCTGACAAAGCTCTTTCTCTCCTTTTTCTTTGGCATCCATTATGGCCCCGGCCGGCTGTCAGAGAGCTTGTATTGCCTGAGGGGAAGTTCCCATTTGTGGGAGCATGTGGCAGGGAGGCTCTAAATCCCCTCTAATGAACCAATATGTAGGAAGGCTAAGCCTCTGGCGGGGTCGTCCAAGAAGCGCCACTCAGCACTCGGCACTAATGTATGCATATGTAGTCACCAGACCTTGTTTATGTCATTTAAATTCGAATCGGACCTGCAGGATTAGAGAGAGGAGATTTGGACTTATGCTAAAAACCTTGTTGTTATCTGAAATGGGGATAAGGAGAAAAGGCCAAGAATATGAAAACAAAGAGTCATACCTTTGGGTGTGGTGGGAGAAAAGAACCTCTCTGATCCTACATCAGATACCTGCAAAAACAAGAAACACATAATTAGTGCATCTATGATGCATGACATCATTGGCAAGTATGTCCCCTAATCTTTTACTGACTGCTAATATTTGAAATACTGAAGACCAGTTGAACATTTATTGGTGTTTGGAAGAGAATCAGAAGAATCAGGGAGTGGAGTCCCATGCACACCTGGCAGTCACAGATAATTTAACATTAGGAGGCACTGTTGAGCCACATAAAAGAATATAAATGGAAAATGTGTCAAGATATGATGGTGGCAAGTGTTTTTCATCATGTTGCAAAGCATGTCAGTGCAACCAACTACTGAGTCATCTTATAACAGAGATTAGATTATCTATTACAAAATATGTCCTCACTACTAAACAATGAATCAAGATTAGATAAAATATTCGAGACAAGCATGGACTATAGACTAAACATTCGGCTATTTTCCTCTACTTCAGATGGATATGTTAGTCTCTGGCAGGCACAAGCAAATCAAAACACACATATACACACACACATACATTCAATAAAAAGACACATGTAGAATGGGGAAACTTTAAACATTACAACCCAATAGTTTTCCATTCACACAAAAGCTGGCATTGTGCAAACCCCTGCAGCAAAACGACAGTGTGCTTGGAAGATAGCGGCAACAATGAAAATCCTTCTTAGCCCGTAATGTCAGGCCGTATAAGGTCTTTGTTAAAACAGGCTTCCCATTGCTGCAGCTCATTTCATCTGGGTTCGGCAGACTTGTAAAACGCACCACAAGCCCGACATATGTTCCACCCAAAGGGCCCAAGTATCTTTAACTGCCGCGCTTGTGTTTTATGCGGCACAAAGGGAGCATATGTAAAGAATGAACAGTGAATCAGAGAAGGAGACAGCGAGAGAAAGCAAATGATTGTGTAAACACAGATGGCTGTCCTTGGCATCTCTCTTAGTTCTTCACAAGTGTTTGGAGGACGTCCTCTTCTCTCCAAGACCGCCCAATTTCTCTTTCACTGCCACTGTGCCTCCATTCGCCACAAAATTTGTCTGTCTGCACTTGATAGTTGTACAAAAACACTACCGAGAGATAGCACTTCAAGGGAGGCTTTAGACACTTGGAATAGCTCCACTTCAAGTAATAGGTCTTTACTGTAAGCACGATTTCTGTCAATACAACTACGCATATTTAACTGCCAAATTAGCTTGTTTTTTCACTGTTTGCTGGAAAAAATAAAAATAAATCACCAATACTGATAAGTGGCATCACAATGTACTGCATTAAAAAAAACAAAAAAAACAAAACAATAACAACCTTTTAGAAAATAAATGCATAACTATGATATTATATTCCGTTTTATTACACAATCTGTACTACATGTATAAATATGTGCTTAACTTGTAATTCTAACATATGAGCTTTGCCTAGTTTATTGGTCCATTTGTTAATTTTTTTAATATAATAGACAAAATATTTCCTGTCAGAATTAGCCTAGCCACCATTCTGTACCACTATAACCATGATATGTTTAGCAAACACAGAGCAGACCCAAATGCTAATGAGAACATAATGAAGCAAGGTTAGGTGATTCACTGAGCCTTTACCACATTTTGAGTGGCACTTGAGATGTGTTTTGATAAGGCCAAATCAGGACATAGACACTTGAATTGAGTTGTTTCCTGTTTCCTTTTACAGTAAACGAAGCCTGGAGACTGTGAGGCAGAAGAAGAAGAGCCAGTGTGCTGCATTGCCCTGGTTCAGTCTCCCAGAACCGGGGCGCCCAGCTACAACACAGTGTCTTTGTTAGCTTTGGACGACATTAAACGCTTCAGTACCAAGACTCAGCTCTGAAGCAGTGCAACCTCCAGAGCCCCAGGAAGAAAAATATGGGCTCGAAATGAAATGAAGCTTGTCAAATGGACACGGGAGCTGGCTCCGAGTGTGGCGCGGGGTCACAACAGCAAGAAAAACACAGGGAGGTCACGCCATAACTCAATGTAACAGTTACAACAGTTGTTATGGCCCGAGTGGTAATCCACAGAGCAGCAGAGACATAACAGAAAGGCTGTTTACAGTAAGGCCCCTGACCCAGATCTTATCCCATTTCACCAGCTCTGGCTTTGAACGTCCTTCTATTGCAGATGTATTTCAAGAAAGATAAACAACTGATATTTAGGTTTAATGCTGTGTTCTGCACCTGCCAAATCTGCAGGAGTCAGTTGTATAATCCACAATTACAAGGCCGGCTTACCAAAGCACTTCTTGAAAGGCATGTCAAAGCAGAGCCCTGGCACTTGTTCTGGTAGAACATTCTGGTCAGTTTGACATTTTTTCATCAGGCTGAGCTGCTGGCACTCAGAGCTGCCTGTGGTTGTGGTGCGTGGAGGTCATGTATAACAAATTCTTCACACTCTCTTTGTTGAGACAGCCCTGGCTGCCATTAAAAACAGACGGGGAAAGATGAGGCAGAGGGGGAACATATACTATAAAGGGAGAGAGAGACAGAGAGAGGAGCAAAGGCCAGCTTTTCCAAAGGAAACAGGGAAATCTAACCGTTTAAAAAATAATGGGGGAAATTCAAGCCACATTGCCTGGGAGCCAAAAGCCCTTGGAGCGGGCCGCAGGAAGCCTGACCTTTGTGGGGGCCGTCTGCTATTTGAGCCTGGGGCTTCAGGGGCCCGGCCTCCTCTCTGGAGGGCCGTCAGCAGGCCTCAGCTTTCCTTCCCTATTCTATTCATTAGCCATGCTTTATGATTCAGCTTCCTCTGAGCCACACAAGAGCTCCCTGAGGAAAGCGCTGTAGAGAGGGAGAGAGGGAGAGAGAGCAGCAGACTGAGGAGGGGGAGGAGGAGGTCAGAGGGCCGAGCCAGGACCCAGCTTTCAGCAGCTGTGAAATCCTCCCGTTTTCTCGGCAGGCGCTAACGCAGGAGAGCAGCCAGTAAAGCCTTCATCAGCCGCTAACTCCCACCGGCTCACAGGCACAAGCACACTCCCAGATTTAGGGAATGCCAAATTACAAATTACACTGCTGTTTGTTTTAAAAGTCCTCCAACTTCCCTGAACACCACTGAATTATTGGCCGCATAAATCTCCCGATAACAGCGTGGCCACAGAGGGAGAGGCAGGAACTAGTGAGCAATAAGAGAGACATTTAGTGAGAGTGAAAAATGCATTTGCGGTCCAGGCTCGGAGTAAGACAGGGAAAATATTTGCAAATTTGTACATGTGCATCAATTTGAGCTTATGCTGAAAGCGACATCATCATAAAATCAGAGTCTGGATATATTGCACATTTATTCATAAACACCATCACGCATAATTTTACAGCATCGTCCAACCACGCGAGGCACTTTACACGGCCAGGGAGCGCAACATAATCAAGAGAGTGACCTTGGGGTGCACATTTATGAAAGGCATTGATCAGTTAAGGCTGTGATCTGAGACAGTGGGGTCAGCAATTACCCACATTCAATTAACCTCATTTAGTGAAGACTGCTGAGAGACCAATATCGCCACCCAGCCCTGACCTCCCCGTGCAACCCCCAAGTTATATCAAACACGCCTAATGCCATCCGTCTACTTTTGATCCAAGCACTTTAATCTAGGGACAAAAATATGCAAAACCACTCGTATCTGATTATGAAAGGTGCAGTACCAGATTTTTACTGTTTTAATGTGGAAAAAAGTTCATTTTGTTGCAGTCCAAATTTATTCCACACCTTCCTAACGCTTTCCAAGAATCCTAGTTAATCACTGCATCACAACACTATTTAGGCCAGAGCGGATTTTTGCTGTCACGATTCTGCTAACAACGACAAGCTTGATAATAGTGGACCAGCTTTACTTCCTGGTTTGCGGACTATAAAAATACCTTTTAAGAGCCAATTGTACGGTATGTACTGGGCAAAACACATTTCATTACATTATAAAAACTGGGTACACCTCTTTCATTCAGTAGAAAATATCAGTGCTCTTTCCATGGATACATTTTACACACATCCTGATAAACCAGCTGGAAAAACCATTTGTTATCATTGTTGTGGTTCTTGCTCGCAAAGCCTGTAATTATAATTTTGTTCTGAGTCATTTGCCACATGTTCTTGACAGACTGTTATAGGACTATCTTTGCAACTTTTTAACATAAAATAATAAACATACATAGCTTTCAACAAACATTGCTCCTAGATGTAAAATAAAAACATATGCAAACCAGAAGTACAATGCTGCTTCTCAAAATATTCAAAAATGAGTAACTAGCCTGATAAGAAAGTATATATGCATGGTATATGCAAAATAAACATGGAAATTATGCTTTGATACTTTCAAGCAAATATTTTTGAATATGTTATGAACTGTAAACAAAACACAAACAGCTATGCCAATAACTAAAGATTAAGTATACTTTGTTGTAAATATAGGGATATCCTTGCTTGTATATAATCAGAGGTAATAGACAGCAGGAAGCAAGCATGGCGAACGCATTCTTCCCTGACAGCTAAATGACTAGGTCAAATGTCTCAGTGCAGATGAAGCAACGAGGCTAAAAGTACGCTCCGTTACAAAGTGCAGCGTTGGATGGTGTGACACGACAGGCAGCTAAAAGACTTATCAGGTACCTTGAGTGAAAGCTAGAACTGGGGGCAGAGAGAGAGTAAAGAGGTGGGCAGGATGGCACCTATCCAGCATGGACGATGGGACTCTCAATTACCCTGGCTGAACCTGGTTGTCCACAGCTCACAACACCTCCTCTCTCTCTCACACACACACACACACATACACACAGACACATACACACACGCATATAGAAAGCCTGCGGTGTGTTAATTTGGCTCCTGCTTGGTATTTCATCACTGTCAGCTTCCTCCTTCACTGCCCTCTCTTCCAATTTCCATCTACTGTCACACGCGCTCCTCTGTTGCCACTCTACCCGGGCTAAAAATATAGCATGTATATTCAAGCCAATGTGTTACAATTTGAAATGTGACAATAAAGACTCATTTACATTTACAAAAAACAGGCAA